GTTAACTCCTCCAGTTACAGCACCAACCACTGATTTTGCAGTTTGTATAACTACGATTCCAAACAGTAGTGCTGACCTCTCTGTGAATTCTGATTGCTACAAAGACGACAGGTGTTACGTCGATGGTATTTCAATGAAAACCGACAGTTCGGTGTTGGGGGAATTTGCTGGTAACGGTGATGACTCTGGCGACTATTTTCAACATGGCTATATGAAGCAGTAAATGAAGTGTGCCACAATCGTTTATTTTTCAAGTATTCTTCATTTGTCATAATCAGAAAGGATACTGAGGTGCAGCTCCAATAAGCTGCACAGTTACGGAAAGGAAGGTTCCCGAGAAAGGCTTTGCTCATCATAAATTCGAAGCAAGATTTACCGCCAATATAGCTCAAAGAATTAACAAGTAACAATTTGGGCAGACTTACAGTATTAAGAAGCTTTAGTATGAAGAAGCAAATAATAGAAAAATTATAGAAGCAAATTGTTTAAAACATGAAGATAATTGCCAATACGAGTGGGAATTGGAAGAAGAAAGAGTCAATTAAATTAAAGCCAGAAAGAACCTCGTTAGGGTAGAGATGATGTTGGATGACATCGAAATTCTCTTATATCTGCTAACTTGAGCCCAACAGAATGACCTTTTGTTTGTCTGCTAAGAGTCTTTCCCTGGGAAAAGTTTGAAGATAATGCTCATTAGAGTTTAATTTTCTTTTGCCGTACAGTAGCGACATTGCCGAGAGGTGGCAAAGTGAAAACATATCGATACGATGATTTTTGCTGGAGTTAAAGGTTGAAGTTCAGAACACCTAAGAAACGATAATTAACAAGAAGAACACAAATAAATTTGAAAGATGTAAATGCAGTCAACTTATAGAATACAAATAAGAATCAAAATTTTTTATCGTTAATTCAGTTTTTTCCATTGAAATTTTCCTTACTCACGGTTTTCACACCGCGAAATTTGATTGGTTTAAGTTTGTTGTATATAACTCATTTGTGTGATTTTCATACAAAACTTAAAAGTGGGAAGCGGGGCGTAAAGAATGAAAATAAATAAAATTACTTAATTCTAGCCAAATGGTGGTTTAAAAGAAAAGAGCTGTTTAAAAGTTGAAAAGTCAGAATAAGAAAGTCAAAATTACTTGACACTGGTCGAACAACAATGCAAAAATCCAAAAAAAAGTTGACATATAAAATAAATAGAACCAAATAAA